AGATAGATAGATAGATAGATAGATAGATAGATAGATAGATAGATAGACAGACAGACAGACAGACAGATAGATAGATAGATATAGATAGGATAACTGGTGAACTTCCAGTAATTTCATTACCCTGGATATATTAAATATTGTTTTGTATCCCCAATGACACAGCAAAATTTAAGATCGCCATTGTAGCAGAAGGAAAGAACAGGGCTGACTTTGAAGGTATACGAGAACCCTAAAAGCATGTATGAACTTACCTTGTCTCCCTTCATTCCAGCTGCACCTGGAGGTCCTGTTATACCTCTCTCTCCTTTCAGTCCTCTCACTCCCTCTGGTCCAGTAAAGCCTTCAATGCCCATTGATCCTTGGTTCCCGATTGGCCCTGGTTGACCCTACAGAAGAAGGAAACAATGTTTTATTTTGTTCCTGAATAATCTTTTCACAGATCTTCCTCTTAAGATAAATACCAGAAAATTACTGAGAACAAAGTCCTCAGCTGAAGGTCCATGTTCTATCTTAAGAAGAAGACTGAAGAAGGTGGCATCAATGTGGTCAGAGCGACAGCAAACGTAGAGCCATTAAAAGCCTTTGAAGAATATCTACCAAATCTGTGAGCAGAGAAATTGGGAAGGCGATTTCTCAGAATTTTTCAAGATGTAAAGAGTGTAAGAAAGATGGTCTTGACAGAAATTTGTATGATCTGTTGCCAAGATGACAATGGATGAAGCAGATTTTAAACCACAACAGACAGATAATATTCAGAAGTGGCTCATACAGACACCTCCTAATTCACTGAAGTACAAGAGAAGAAGCCTTCAACACTTGGCTTCTATCCCAGACCTTGGGGTAGGGTGGATGAAGCTCCCTTGGTTATAATTTTTAATGTTTTGATATGTTGCTTGCATTGCAATTTCTTTAATTATTTTCTGAAAGCCAGTTTGATATAGTGGTTAAAGGCTCCAGGCTAGAAATTGGGAGACAATGAGTCCTAGCCTTGCCTTAGGGATGAAGCCCAGCTGGATGACCTTAGGCCAATCACTCTCTCTCAGCCCCTGTTATGAAAGCAAGGGCAAACCACTTTCAAAACTGTTGTCAAAAAAAAAAAATACCTCTGAATAAATTAGTTGAGGCAACTGCCAGAAATCAACAAAGTCATGCATGCACATACAAAACACATTTATGTCATTTTTTAATAATTTGATCCAGTTTACTGTATTACATTTTGTTATTTTTATGTTGCACTTCATTTCTGGTGAGATGCCCGTAGTTGGTTGGCATTGAAACTGAATGTGTAAATAAATATAATGTTCTCTGGGGTCTCAGAGAACAAAGCTAACATGCCAAACTTTTCAAATTTTGAGAAGATGGATGTCAGGTGAACTCTTTAATTCAACTTAAGAAGAAAGATTCCAGCTAAACTTTAAGAATGAATCACCAGTTTGAAAACTATCCAATAACCCTCTTCTGTGTAGGTCTTCCAACTTAGATTGCTACAGAAAAAGATGTCATGATATATCAATTAACTTAACTGACCAGACACAAAAGAGGACCTCCAATGACACTGGCAGATTCTAGAAATAGAAATTGGTATTTGTTCTGCCACATCTTGAGACCATCAACTGGTTCATTAATTTTTTGGGAAAACAAACTCAAAACTTTAGAGCTGAGATAGCCAGAAAAACTCTACAGTTGTTCTTTGAAAGGCTTGCTTGCGTCAACATTTATGAATTATATAATCAAAACAAAGACTCAGGCAGCATGAAGAAAAGAGCCCCCAATCCTCTAAATGAGTTAAATTTATTCTTTTCGGCTGTAACAACACTGCACAACAATTTGGAACACCAACTTTTATTTAAACAAAAGACCAAGAAAAAAGTAGCATAGCTGCAACATATGGATCACATACAGAGTTCTAAACTCCACGGAGAACATGTAAGTTCTCCCTGCATCAGATCTTGTTCCATGATGGCAGAGCAGCATGAAAAGAAGAAAAATAAAACAAAGGAATCAGTTTCTTTCTTTTTTTAAAAAAAAATCAGAATTCAGGAGCTACTAGAATAACTGTGATGACACAACATCCACAGAAGGACAGGGATGAAACATTTGAGCTGGATTATTTTGTGTGTGGAAGGTAATCACTTATTCTGTTTCTTTCCGGAAGAAGGAGATGAAAGCAGGGGTGGGATTCTACAGGTTCGCACCTATTTGCTAGAACCGGTTGTTAGCAGTTCGGAAAACCGGTTGTTAGAAGAAATTACTGGCCTAATCCTGTAAGGAAGGCAGGAAGGAAACATTCTGGTGTTGCTTACAGAAACTGCCTCTCTGTTAACCCTTATTACATTCTTGGCAGGACTAGACTTCCTGTCTCAGGAACCTCTCTGGAGTTTTTTCCCCTCCTTTGCTGGTACTTTGCTTGTGTGGAGTGACCATTCAAAGTTACAATGGCACTGAAAAAAGTGACTTATGACCATTTTTCACACTTACAACTCCCCACAATCATGAAAGGCCAGGCGAGGAGATGTGTGCCTCGATGTGAGTGATGTTAAGTTGGCCACACCCAGCCAGTCACATGACTACCAAGCCATGCCCACCAACTAAGCCACACCCACAGAACTAGTTGTTAAAAAATTGAATCCCACCCCTGGATGAAAGAGATGGAGGAGGAGGAGGAGGAGGAGGAGGAGGAAGGGGAAACATTGTGCCATGAAATATTGTTGGTGTGATAGAAAGCTCAAGAGGGTCAAAGAAAGGACCAGGAGACCAAATGTGGTCAATGGATTTCTTTCTACTTCCAGGAGAAAGACATGACATTTATTACTTTGAATTTCTCTCTGGTTAGAAAGTTAGAAAACTTCACAGATGTGGGATTACTGGCAGAGCTCTCTGGTGGAGAATTTAAATGTGGGATCTGAATTCTAGTCTATAGAATGAAAAGATTCTATTAGTAGTTTATATCCTAAAGGGCAAATTTAAGAATACTTCAAAATTTTCTCCCAGGACTCCAAGATGACTCCTCAATTACAGGAAGCTATCACTATTCTCCCCTATAACATGTCTAGAACACAATTATCTAGTTCAGAAGTCTCCAAACTTGGCAACTTTAAGACTTGTGGACTTCAACTCCCAGAATTCTCCATCCAGTATAGCTGCCAAGTTTGCCAAGTTTGGGGACCCCTGATCTAGTTCTTATGGATGTCATTAACTTCTTCTTTGGAAGTCAACAAGGAGGCCTCACAACCATGTCTTCCACGTTAGAATAAATAGGAGGGGTTGTCTTTAACCTAAAAATCAACGTCCCAACCAACCAACGAGTTTTGAAACAAGGGGTCCTTGGTGCTTTCTGAGCTTTGTTGTTTTCTTACAGATATTTTGTTACCCAAACTAGTAACGCCATGCTAGGTAACAATATGCTCAGCATTGATGATGGCTACACCACATCACTGGAAGCCAGTCCAAAGCGGAAACAATTCCATTTTTTATATATCAAAACTTTTTTTATATATCGTCTTTTACATATCAAACTTCACTGCATGCAGATACTTCAAGATTTCAGAGCAGCTGCTTATAAGAATTAGGAAGTCAAATCCACTCATGGTTGCAAAGGAAGTTGTGCATCCCTGTTTTGGCTCCTTACTTAACCACAAAGCTCAGGATAAATATCGCTTATCTCACAACACTCTTAGAGAGAGAAATACAACCTAGAAGGGTGAGGGATAAATTCAAAAGCTAGATCATAATGCCAAGTTTGTAAGAATGATATGCCAAAATGAAGTTTGATTTGAGGATTGTTGCTCTAATTTTGTATTCCCGCTATAAGGACTGATTTTGTATTTGTACACTTATTTTTTTTCCTTTGAGTTTTTTTTAATTTTTATTAGTTTTTAAGACAAACATAGACAAACAAAACATAAAAACATCAAGCCATCTTCCATATATATATATATACATACAGTGTGTCGGTTGGTTTACAAATTGTTTTGTGCTTCCATTTTGTAGTCTTCAATTACAATTACATTGTATATATTCTCATATTTTCAATCAAATATTAAATACATTAATATCATTGTTAATCAATCATTTGACTATGCTTTTATTCATTCATGTTTTACGAAATAATCCATATTTTACTTAATTTGTTTTATGACAGTTCATATTATCATCTCAAATCTATCCTACAATCATTTTGTAGATATAATAAGAAAAGAATACATCTTTATATGTTTATTATTTTCTAAGAATCTACATATTTCACTACCATGTTTTATTGTCTAGGCATTGATAGAAGAGATCCCAAATTTTATAAAATTGTTTATCATCTTGTTCTCTGATTTCACATGTCAATCTACTCATTTCAGCACTTTCCAATATTTTCTTAATGATTTCCTCCTGTAATTATATTTTCTCATTTTTCCAGTTTTTGGTAAATACAATCCTAGCTGCTGTTAATACATTTACAATCAGGTATTTCAATTCTTTACTATATATTTTGAGTTTAAAACTTTGAGTTTTTTTAAACGCACACTGAGAGGTGCTAGAGTCCCACCCTTTGGAACAGGGCAGTGCAGTGTTTTGTCACATCTGTCAAAACTGTATAAAACTGCCTTAGGTTTGGGGGAACTGGGTGTTTTGTGCTTGTTTTTCCTATTACTGATAATATTTTCTGCTGAAGTGATAAATTGAAAGCTTCCATACACTCAAGTGATCCCTGGATGTTGTCAAGTGAAAAACAAAACCATCTTTTAGAAAACCACCATGAACTTTAATCCTGTTGCTTGAACATTTCCCACTCTATAAGATGTGTCTCTCTCAACCTCAGCAACTTTAAGATGTGTGGACTTCAAGTACAAAAATTTTGGCTGGGGAATTCTGGGACTTGAAGTTCATGCACCTTAAAAGTCACTGAGGTTGAGAAACATTGCCTTATAGACTTCTACCTGAAATCCAAGGTTAGCAAGTATCTACAATCGATGCATTCACATCCGAAGTTGGGTTGATAAGCCAAAAACCCCCATCCTATCTGGTCATCTGAACTGTTGCTGTTGCTGGTCTCCCATCCTGGTGAGATAGATGTGGTTGTAGACCAGATAATAGATTTCTCAGTGATGGCCACCGTTTTACGGAATACTTTCTTTAAAGTATTGCACCGCATTGCACTCGTACCAGAAGAACTAAGGTACTTCTGGGTTAAAAAGATTAGCTGGTGACATCACCATTGCCTGGGGAATGTCCAGTTGGGGACTCTTTTCACATCCCTAGAAGGAGCTGGAACGAAGGACGGGAGCTCACTCCACCCCATGGCAGCACTCAGGTCTTGAACACGGGTTTGCTAACCTCCATCCCAGCATCCTAACCACACAAGCCACCATGCTCCTTTCTCTATCCATATCTGGAA